AAACATGGGCTTGACAGTGGAAAAACAAAGCAAATGAACGCGAACACTGGCATTTCAAGTCCAGAGCAATGATAGTCGGTAGTTTCCATGCCGTTTTCTAAACACTTGTTTCTCCACATCGCTTCAGATTTTAGCAACCATTCATACACGATTAGATGGCCTCATTATTGAAGTATACTTATCAACAACCGAAATATTAAAATCTTTACTTTCGATTTTTCACCTAATGTCCGCCTGGATGCCCACTGTGCGTCAACTGCTCAGAAAAGTTGCCATTAATCAATTTTAACGCTTGTGGGCTTTTAGAACATGAACTAAGTACCATATTGAAAATATCTATGTAAATAATGCTGATAATATATATTTATAATTTAATTTGTTTATTCTCCAATACAGTTTTCGCACCAAAAGTCTTTGTCGAGATGTTTTTCTTTTTCAGAAAATGATAACTGTTATATCTCTCTCGTGCGCTTTTCCTATCTGCATAGCAGTTTTTCAAACCGTATCGTACATAAACTGACCAAACCATCGTGCTTGTGAGATACACATCTAAATGTTGATGTTGATTGATATCGAGGAAAAGTGGCAGTGCATCTAAGACTGGACCGACTAATATTTATATACACTGTTTAGAATGGAATAGTAGTTGCCAAAATTTAGATCATGAATTAATTTTTAATGAAATCAGCATTGATAATGTCAGTTGCAGTAATAATATCATCACTGTTATGATAAAGAGAAGTGTCATCGGCAGATAGCCGAAGCAGAGAATGATTTATTATCAATTTGTCTTCTGCTGATTAGAAAGAAGCATTGTTTCAAGAAGAAAAACGAGATGTACACAAGTGTATATCGAATGATTAATGTACTTTACTGTGCGAAAAAACGTGCCTGGAGATGATGTACTACACTCTAAAAAAAAAGCGTCGTGCACAAAACCTAAAAGGGTTTAGAAAAGTGTCCCAATCAGCTATCCCTATGGTTTGGTAAAATGCCGCAAAGAGAGGTATCGTAGATGCCCAAAACCCCCTTCTAAAACCTTTTTATGATGGGTAATAAACCCTTAAAAAAGGTTTAGAAGAGGGTTTTTGACGTCTACGATACCTTTTCGGGTAGCTGATTGGGACACTTTTCTGAACCCTTAGAAAAAGCCTGTAGGCTTGTATAATGTGTAGAGTATATCGTTAAAGCTCAGTATCGAAACAGATCGAAGTTAAAAAATTTTCTGTTGATATGTAGATACGCGTTTTCAAATGTATACTGTAGCGAAACTTAAAATTTGGTCAAATTTAAAATCTGCCTGGGCAGAATTAAAATTTTAAGATTGTCTACAACACATACATTTGAAAACGCATATCTAACGGGAGGCGCATAATAAACGGTTCAAAATTTTGTCTTATTTTGGAACACTTCCAAGTGACCTAAGAATCTGGTTCTAGGCTCATTCAATAGAGAATTGAATTCTCTACAAAATCTGCTATTTGAATCTCTGATAGCATTTTTCCCGTTTGAACACCATTCAAAATATTGAATAGTGCTAAGAAGAATGAGGTGAAAAGGTTCAGTTTTTTCGAACAACCGTCGAGGTTCTTGATATTCGCTAGCCGTGGTGTTTCAGTGGCGACAGTTATATATTTCTGGCGTGCTTGACGAGCTGATTACGAGTGTTTTGATATACATCTGATGCGACTTTGCGCGACGTCACAGACGTGTGATAAAGTTTTGACAAAATCATATCATAAAACACATAAATTTTTCGTTAATCAAGAAATTCTCCTGGATTTCAGTTCACAATTATGTAACACGATCCGAAGCCCTACCACATTTATACTGACCTGTCCGAAACACTATAGCACCGACCAATGACTAATGAGTGCAAAAAATCAAGACAGAAATAAGAAAATAGCGTCCATCTATCACACTCCTTAGCACTGACTTAAAGATTTTAATTAACAGGTTAAGCTTTTACCGAAAGTTAACTGAAGTTCTCTGCCAAGACCTTATCAAGAAGCTTTTTTTTCTCTAATGCGCTGATACTGGCATATTCGGAAACCTATAAAAAATAACAACTTTTGCGATAGTTGAAGCTTCTGCCTATTTCATTCGATAGTGAGGTTCAGATTGTAAAAATATTTTTTGTCCTAGAAAGCCAGTGACAAGCATGATCATTACCAAACAGATATTACACTTCTTTTTCTCGTTCTACACAAACCAAACACACGTGCGATGACAAAATATGCATATTTTGCAGTTATTCATATTCGTAGCTTTCCGTTTCGCTAGGTAGTCGACGTTGTGTGTGATTTTTTTATGCTTCCTTAAGAGATTTACCAGCTAGTCAGCAGTCATTGGTTGATTTTCTGAAATTCGTGTTATCGTAGATTTGGTGAGCTCGTATTCTTATTTCAAGGGTTTTATAACTTGGAAGTTTACCTTAAAAAAATGAAAGCGTGGAAGCTCATCGTTTTTCGTTAAAAATGGCCGGCGGCATAAGATATGAAGACGTATATGCGTAATGGAGTGAAGAATACAAGAAAAATAAGAAAAAAATTGCAAACCTTCCATTTATTATCCTCGTCATACTTGAATCATGAAGACCTCCATCTCTTTACACGAATGGAAAATATCAGAATGATTTTTTTGAGACATTGAATACACAAAAATAACGGACTTATCCTTAGATTGTATTAACAAGAATCTGAACTCATAGAAAGTTAACGAAATTATGTGATCGCCACTGTTTATACTAGCTAGCAAAACGATGAGTCGTGTCAGACACAACATCGAGCAAGGCTTGGCGCTCCAAGAAGAGCAAAAAAATGCACTCTTCATGCAACATCATTATATCTCTCGCGCGAGTTGTATATTTAGCCACGGAGGTCTTGGAAAAACGTAGACTTTTAATGTAACATAATGAAAAATGGCGCATTTGGCACAGCGATATAACCTCAGCTAACCGTACTACACAAACACATCTCTGCTTTCGTGTTTATACGTTCTTGCGATTACTCTTTTAGAAGTTTAGCACGCATGAGCAATGGCTGCGTTTATCTATCGCCGTTTAATCACTTCAACTTTGTTAAAATTCAGCAATAAAGCTGGCCTGCAGCAACGAGTTTTCCCACGTAGAACTGCAACTACCGAAGAAGAACGGAAGATTGTATCAGCTTGTAAGTCGCAAAAATGAGACAGTGTTGAGTAACATATTTACACAACTTTTCGATTGATTTTTAGACAAACAAAGTGTAAGTGGCAGGCCGAATTCACAGACTAGTGAGTAAGTGACTTGTGGCGAGAAGTCACTATGTTTGATAGCGAAAATTCTTCCTAAACTGCTGTAATAAGTGGATAATAAGTGAAACTGAGCGAATGCCATTCCAGGTACCTAGTGTCTTAACAAAATATGAATATTTATAGTAACAAAAATACTTGCATTTTGAAAAGCGGCACTGTAAAAGATCTAAGCACGCAGTTTCCGCAACGCTATCTTTTTTTCGAAAAAATAGGAGTACTTTCATGACGTTTGTGGTCCTGCGAAGTATTGCGTGCGCTTTTGCGGTTGCCTCTACGCTCGAAAACCTTTTTAAAATTTTTGTTTTTCCGTGTAAATTCGTTTACAAGTCCTGTAGCCTCAGTCCCCAGTCTCGGTTTTACCGTGAAAATAGTTCGAAGATCGAGACTAGTTCCAGTCGCATCAGACTCTATGTCGTAGTTCCCAGTCTTATTCTCAACTTTTGCCTAGGGCTACAGGTGCCGCTGCCGACACTGATCCTTCATTTGATATATCATTTGCCAATTATGGTTTATTGAGACTGGCTCTAGCAATGGTGATCTTCAGTGTAATATTTCACTGGCTCAGCTTGCCTGAGGAACGAAAGCAGAAGCTGGAACAAAAGAAAAAAGCATCTCGAAATGAAGAAGCCTTAACAAAAGATGGAGAGACAACACGAGTAATTTTAGAAGATCTCGAAAAACAATTAGAGGAAAATTCGGAGAAAGAACAAACAAAGTTTTATTAATCGAAACGTTTGATGTGACTTTTTCTGTTATTCATAAATAAAGAGTCAAAAACCTTTAAATAAGGAATTATCTAGGAAGTGGAGAGGAGCAGCGGATAAATAATTAATGGTGAATGGCATTCTTAGATCGATCCGATTTCCTCGTCTAGATATTTAAGGCAACGCAAACTACTCTCTAATTAAATCGAACTCAAATCATTTCATCTATAAATTCTTCTTGACAAAAATGAGGACTGCAGTGGATTCACAATGGAATTTGTTGGCATCTGAAAATTTTTCCATTGGCACGAGTGGAGTGGTTTTTCACGGGCGCGCTGACTGATCAAACGAGTAATGAAAGAGCGACAAGTGGGAGAAACCCATTCGTAATGATAGTTGCTACGTATCTACAAGAAGATTTTTGAGCCAGGAAAATGCACAAGTTCTGTGGTGAAACATATTCTATTTTCTTGAACCAAGTTCCCCAACGTTTTCGTCTGCGTGCTAGCTTTACGAATAACTTTTCAAAAAAATTTGTTTTGTCGTTTTATTCTAAACAGCGACAGAATCACAGTGGGCCCTTTTCCATGCAGTTGCGATTTTAGAACTCACTTACTTTTACACCAGGACTAAACTTAGACTCTGGAAAGTTGAAGTGTACAAATAGAAAATCATTTCTAAGAAAAAATTTTCTTCTTTTGATGATTCACCGCAGTACACACCTTTGCAGTTTTTCATGGTGAATCCAAATCTGTATAGTTTGTGTGAAAGAAAGAGATTGTTTAAGGCTGAAAGTTAGTTTTACCTCAAAACCCGAGACGTTTTAGAAAGTTTCTCTAGGACCACGCATTTCAAGTTGAGCTGTTGTATGCTAAAATCATAAGTGTAGGAGGGCATACTGGTCATTTCTGCAAAAGAACGGAGGTTTTATATTAGTTATTAATTCTTTGTTTATTTATCTTGTTCGAAAAATATAATCGTAAACTTAAAACCGTAATTAAACAGAAACTATTATATCTATTCAATTAATACACATATATAGATAAAATAACTCTCTTTACTTTAACTGTTACATAAAACGCCAAGATCTCATGTTAGCATTTATCTGTTGATTTTGCATGATGAATCGAAATTTTTCAAGTTTTACTAAAATGTTCCGACATATCACACTGTATCATCAAAATAAACCACACTTCGAAAGTACATGTAATTTGCACAGTACATGTGGTAACTTATATTACAACATTAATACATCATGTGCAAATTTTATCAGAAAAAAAAACTTTTAATTATTTCGCAGATAGAGATTCATCTGTATCATCATCATCTTCTCGAATTCACGATAAAAAAGCTATTGAATTTGATCAATTGAAACATCTATTTAATGATATATGCAGTGGAATTGAATCCATAACTAAAAATGAATATCAGTTTGTTAAACATTGTACAGAATATTTTGGGTATAGTTCAATTCAAGAAATTCTTGTATCCTCTCCTGATGAGGCCATTGAGTGTGGGTATTTCCCTATAGACAAAACATTATCTTCAATGTTGAATTCTCGACCGCTAGCTCTTGAAATTCTTGAAAATATTCATCAACAACAATCAACAACTGACGAGGGAACCGATGGAATTGATAAATCGCTTTTGCAATGAAATATAGTGGTTCTTAGATTATCGACTATGTTGCTTCCGAATATCATCATGACATTTGCCCATAGGCCTCTAAAAATCCGGTTTTTCAGAAAACCGATTTTCGACATGAAAATGTTTTTTTTCAAAACTATTTTTTGATCTTCCCAGATGAAAGAGCATAGGTCATAGAAACCTATATTTTCTCTATACAAATGTGTTTTTGAATGATCTATAGCGATAGAAAACTTATCAGTACTTTAACTTTTATTAAATGAATGTCTTTTATCAAAGTTCGCTAAATTTATTTTGTTTTTATTCATCTTTATCTTTCTATGAAAATGATATTGAATAAAGAAATGATCGAAAGAAAGTTTCTTCGAACAAATGGAACAGGTAATGAAGCTTGTTTCAACGCACGTTTTTTTTCACATAGTTCGATGGAAGCAGTTGGAGGAAAACAAACTTCAACATTTTGAAAAGGCGATGGATTAACTTTTGAATATCCACTACAATACCACGAATATTGTATCATTTTATTGAATTTGGAAGATGATAACTGGTTATGAACGAGTGATATTAATTTTACGATATTATTTCTTTTCCATAAATTAATATCAATTTTCTCTATTGCAACATGATGATACAAACGTTTGATAAGAATTTTCATTTGTCGATTAAAATATCGATCTAATGGTTGAATATCACATGTCGTATTTTTCGGAATCATTATTCGTTGAATTGATTTTGACGGTATATTCTGATAAATCTCTGTATCGTTCTGTTCTGAATACGAATCAGATAAAAGTAAGCATTGTTTATCTACTGATGGAGGAAGACATTTTTCACACCTATATCGAACTAACGATGATGTTAATTTGCCCGATTTGGAACACATTATAACTACATCACTAGGTTGAATTTTAACTCTTTCTCCCATTTTTCCACCAGGCTCTTGGAGACATAAAAACATAGGACCAGTTAACCGGCCATCTAATGATATCGTAGGTTGCACTGTGTAAGAATGGGTTACTGCGTTTTTAGACTGTACTACATCAAATAAACCCGCTAGATTAAGAAGTAAGTGAATCAACCCGTATACGTAGAGTAATAAACCTGTTCAAAGAAAGGATAGAAGAATCTACCCTTAGGTGTAGAAAAATAAACTGGTTATTGGAAAAGTAACATATTCTTCCTAGAAAGGGACAGTGATATACTGATTTAATCAAAAAGTACTATAATAAACCCAAAAGAGAATAATAAAATATCCTTATTCTGGATGCGTACAATAATATACTGGTATTGGTTGAGTAACATACTCTGATCATAAAATTCTAGAATAACAAACCCTCATATAACCATCACATACCCTTTGAGATTTGATAAACGGTTAGTTTGATAAACTTCTCGAGTATTAAACCCTTAAAAGGTTGATAACAATGAGCTAAACTCTTAAAGGGTTTATTAGCAAAATTTTTAAGGGCAAGGGTAGATTATTATGCGGAGATTTTTTTCTGTGCATGAATATCTTCCAAAGGGCCCTTCCAGGGAGAATTTTAAACAACCCAACTATGAGCATCTTTAGGGTAAGATCGATGATGACTCTGGACAAAATGACAAATATAAATGTCGTCCAGCGGGATGTGGTTCAGGCTGAACTAATCTTGAATAGAATCATAAATGTTCATGTTGCCCATCGGGTTGTGATTAAATATCGAATCAATGTTGAGTTTTAATTATCGTATATTCTAATGATTTCGTCTGTGTCTAGAGGATAATCTTATGAAATTCGATGTTTTTTGAGTTCGGTAACCAGCAATAATGATGAGTTATTAAATAACCATGAATGTCTTCCCAAATGAGATTAAAAAATTAACTAACAGGAAGAATAGCCATACACGGATCTTCTTTCAACGTAAATAATTAAAGTAGAAAGAAATAGAAGTGGATCTATTTCTATTAGAAGTTGGAATATAAGCGAAAACGATAACTATCTACTGCAACTTAATTTGGGTTTAATTGTTTCTCAGATCGTCAGACAATATATGGATGGCAATTATATTGAGATTTTTTTAAGATTTTTAACAGAGGGTCCATCACTCGGTCGAGCAGTTTTTTAGGGACCATAGCTTGTAAAATACACATTCGCAGAGAATTTCATTTTCTAAAAAATGAATTCGCGTTCGCTGGGAATTGATTTCGGTACGCAAAAGATGATCACAATGCGTATTGATGTATATGGTGTGCTTGCGAATTCTCTATTTTATTCTGACTAGTTTAGGTCACCATCTAGGTTAGGTTACCATCGACTGCGGATTCTCTATTATTTCGTGACTATTGTCGATATTTGAAAAGAAATGCACTCCGGCAAAATGCTTATAACTTTTCAGCGAGGAGGGCTACAGTCCTGCGGTTTCAAGATTCTGAAGCTAGACACTCTGGGACGTAAACCTAGAAAAAAGTCAGAGCGTCTGATCAGGTTTAGCATGCTGCACCGTTCGAGACAAAACCCGAAAGCGTATCATTCCGAAGCCAGACGATGACACCCAGTCTCAAGTAATAACAGTCGATAGCCGAAACATTTCTCTTGAAGACTACGCTAAGCGCTGGTCTTCATCTCATTTGGTTCCGGAGATACAAACGTTGTCAAGGACACACT